GGTGTGGGTGTGGGTGTCGGTGTGGGTGTGGGTGTGGGTGTGGGTGTAGGTGTGGGTGTGGGTGTGGGTGAGTGTGTGGGTGAGTGTGAGGGTGTAGGTCTGGGTCTGGGTGCGTTGGTATGGGTGTGAGGGTGTAAGTCTGGGTCTGGGTGTGGGGTGTTGGTGTGGGTGTCGATTATTCTTCTTCGATCTTCCACACCCCCCCCACCCGCACCCACACCCACACCCACACCCACACCCTGACAATGAGTAGAATCTGGTTCTATATGAGTATTGCAGGTTTTTATATTTCGATAGCTTCTCACCCAAATATAGTTGTTTTTAATGAAATTTCACTAACATTCATCAAAACTCTTGGCATAATTCTTAATTGTTTATCAAAATAATGTCTATATGTTTGATATGTATATTCTTGACCAGCTTTGTAGTCATAATAATAAAAACGATGTGGCATCATTAATTTCTTAGCTAATTCTTCGAAATCAGATAATGATCTACATTTTAAATATTCATTTTTCTATGTCAATAATGAGAATCAATGAATAGTTAAATAAATAAACATACTCGTTCTTCATCTTTTTTTCTTCTCTTCCTTTGTTGAAAATAATTTAGAAGAATTACAATACTTGTCAATGTTGTACCAAAACATAAAATATACAATTGACTGTCTGAAAAATTTAAAGTTAAATTTCTAATTACATTGATAAGCATACTTACTTTTCATTGATTAAAAAAATGCTCTATATCGTTATCTCAATGTGAAAATCTTCAAGTAGGATAAAAAACTGAGAAAAAATATGTATAAGATCATATAGAAATTTTTCAAATTCGATTTCTTAATAATAATAGAATATATTTACTAATAAACTGAATTTATTTCACTCCTATGAGAGACTTTAGCGAAACATCGACTCAGAGAATTTAGACAATATTTTAACTTGTATCTGTGAATTCTGAATTCGAATATTTTCATCTTCAGTAAAAACGCATTGTTTTGTGTCGATAAGCATTATGAAGAATGAAAAAAACAAATGAATAGATAAGATATCGTTGAAGCATGTTAGAATATGATGCTACACAAAGAAAGATAAAAAAAATTGCATTTCTAATGAATATCTCAAAGATCATAAAAAAGAAAGAAATAACTCATCATAGTGTCTATTTCAAAACAATACAATGACGAATCTAGGATTTTGGAAGGATGGAGGGCACTTTTCGACGGAGGTGTGAACAAAAGTTTAAACCCAACGTATTTTAGATCTTTTTCTATTAATGTTAAGCACCTAGCTCAAATCCAGATAGCGATTTTAATAGCCAATGGAGTCTTCTATCTGATGCATTCTATCCCAAATATTCAAAGATAGACTATGATGACAATATTTCTAAAAACCCGGACACGGTATTTTTCAGATCACAGAAGACTTTGTTAGAGCTGTTTTTAAACAACGCTACAGTTAAGAGTACAAAATTCTGAACAGAATGATGGGTCGCTGCATTGTCTATGACCTTGCCTTATAAAATTAAAGCCATCACAAAAACAGCAAAAATGGCGTTTTTAGCAATTTTTTGATAAATTTCGGTTTTTTTTTGCTGTTTTTGTGATGATTTTAAATTTGTAAGGCAAGGTCATAGACAATGCGGCGACCCATCATTCTGTTCAGACTTTTGTGCTCTTAACTGTAGCATTCTTTAAAAACAGCTTCGACAAAGTCTTCTGTGGCCTGAAAAATATTGTGTCCAGTTTTCTAGACATCTTGTCATCATAGTCCATCTTTGAATATTTGGGATAGAATGCATCAGATAGAGGGTGTGGATATGAGCCTTCTTTTTACAATCACTCACATCCACACCCGGTTGATATCGACAAAATTCGATCAGAGATCGCTGTTTTCAACCAATCTTTGTCCAATGCTAGTGTCGCCCTTTTTCAACAAAGACAAAAACGTTTAATCTTTACTGTTTGCTATGACGAAGAAGTGACTAATGCTAGTGATGTGTTGTGCAATTACAAACAGTCCAAGTCAGTACTAAATCGGAAAAAAACGTTAGATCAATGAAGGGATGTTCAAGGACTGAGAAATAGGAATAAATTGTGTTGAGAACATTGCCTTGAATTTTGGGAATGAAAGTAGGAATGGCTATTTTCCAGTTCTTGAATACTACTGAATTATCTTTATTTTTTCAAACAAACTCATGATATTCATATGTCAATATGTTTATTCATAATTGTTGACGAATCTGGTCGAACAATGCATCAAGATTTTTTGGATCGTTACCAAGCAGATCGGTCAGACACTTGCGAGCTTTTTTCACAACACCATGCCATAATGATTCGAACGTTTTGAAACGCGTTTCAAGCACGACAATAACGAGTGCTGAGGTGAGTGTTGGGTTATTCATCTGAACATTGATCGATTGGAAGGTGGCAAGAGGCTTTCCGGTCAAGTATTTGATAGTCTCACTGTTCAAATCCCAGAGTCCATCGAAGTGTTGTTTGCTGATCAGATGACGAACAATGTCTTGATCATTATCGGGCCAGATTTTGTCTCTGTCACATTTGACCATTTTTGTTGAACTATTGACGGATAATTCATTTGTGACGGACGACGAGCGCCCACTAGTCATCGATGAAGCACCACAACAGGATGAGGCATGTGGTCCAGTGTCTGGATAAGACTGCAAATAAATCGACGAGCTTGAAGGATTTGCCGTTCGTTTTCGGAACAAAATCGCACTGCTATTGTTAGCACTTAGACTGCAGAATCGAGAGGATTGAATCATTTGTAGATGTTGATCATCCGCAGAAATTTGAATAGGCACTTCACGTAGGACCATACCATCGTTACTTCCATTAATTCGTTTCTCCACACCAACAAAGGCCGTATATGGACTTAAGATGTTATATTTGAGAGAAAGTTCAATGATGTGACTCTTTACCTCTTTATTTGCCATTGACAAGCCATCGAATCGCTCTTGCATCGAGCCTGATCTCGTCGGAAATTTATTGTGTTGCAATTCGAGAATGAGCGCTTTAGCAGCCAGACGAACAATCGTTCGATTATCACTGACACTTGGCACTCGATCAATTTTGGCCATAGCCAATCGATGATGATCATATTCAGTTTGGAGTTCAACCAAAGGATTATGATCGAATGGAATCGTTTTATCATCATCGACAAGACCGTAGACAATCAGTCGATCATTGACATAGACCGGTGGTGATCGTCTCGGAGCACTTTGTACGTCGACTCCGAGATTCCATTTGATGTGAACATTTGTGATGCACAATTGAAGAGCCTTGCGCAATTGTTCGCCGACCTGAACATCGACGCTTGTATTCGGTGGAATGAAAACGAATCGACCATTCGTCGATCGAGCAAGACCTTTGACCAGAGATCGGCTCGGCGAGTGGCCCAAACCGAATGAAAAGATTCGAGTAGATGAGGCCATCGATCGACACAGATCGAGTATTTGTGCAACATTGGAAATCTCGCCGTCAGTCAGAAGAAATATTTGACGAGTTCGACCTCGATCAGATGGATGCTGTGCAAGCCATTGCAATGGTTTTAGCTGCATTTTTGTGCATGAAATTTGAATGAAAAAATGTTTGACAATAAAATACTTACCAATTCGGTGCCACCCAAATCAGCCTCCATCAACTCGATGTACTGTTCGGCTTGTCGAGCATTGTCTTTGTTATAGACGACGGTGATCTCGTCAAAGAGACTTTGGTACATCGATCCAAATCGAACAATATTGAAATGACAATTGACAGGAAGACTTTTGAGAAAGAGTAACATTGCTTGTCGAGCTAGTTCGATCTTGTTTTCGCCATGCATCGATCCACTACAATCGATGACAAAGATAAATTCATTGATTTGATCATTGTTCAATGTATACTGACGACAGTCGTTTTCGGTAGGAGCAAATGCGACCATCACAGCACCATGTTCGACGGCAAGAATTGTGCTATTACGTTTCTTAGCCAATTCAATATCGATCAGTATGTCTCGATCCAAATGTGTATTTTGCTGAGCAAACGTCACGACATAGACATCTGATTGTGTGAGATCGACTTCAATTGGATATGATGTCGATATTATGCGAGCGATTGACTGTTGATTTTCGATATGACAACGAAATTCGATCGTGTACGAACTTGATTGAACGTACGACGAATTTGTATTCGCCGGCGATGAAATGCCCTTCTGATCAGGATTGTAACGAGGTGCAATGGTGGTCGGAACGACGAATCGAATTGTCGATCCCTGAACAAGATCCAATTCGGTGACATAGGCAATCGTAATTGTACATTCGTTTGACGGTAACAATGGGCCAATATTGATAATAAAATTATCCAGTGAATTCTCATCTTGTTCCAACAAATAGGCTCCATGACCTTGTTGTAAAGCATTGATATACTCATGTTGTGCTTCGTTCTTTTCTTTCAATTGAGCAACTATTTCTCGATCATCAATGTGAGCAACAAACGAGTAGATTGCCGCTTGTTCTTCGATTGGAAAACAGTAGACAGCTTCGATCGGTGTGTTTTCTTCGTTTCGAAACACTTGCGTTATGCTCACATTTGCAGCAAACGAACGAATCGTTGCTTCGATGTTGACTCGCTTTAAAGGCACTGTTGATGTCTGATGATCGCGATTGTCTGCTGTTGTACGTTTGATTCGGAGCATTTTTTTTTACAAATGTTGATATGAATACATACAGATCTAGATATTCAGCTGATTCACTCTCTGAGTCAATATTTCACGAGATAGAAACAAAAAAATGAGAAGAAAAAAAACGAATAGTGCACGATAAGAGGTCGCCGTGTTAGTCATACGGTTGATAAAAAAAGTTGCTCTGCTCGTGTGACTCATTTACAACACAAGAACGTATATAAAAGTGAGAGGGAGCATTAGTCACCATCTTAAGAATGTGAGGACGTGGATGTCGATGAAATGATACGTGCACAGTCAAACACATCGGCAACTATTCACGATAGATAACTATTTGAAATGTTGGATTTGTGTGTATCGGTTTTATTCTAAATTGGAATTCAACAAGAAGATAATAGAAACATGATAAAGAATAGAAAACAAGATGCAAAAATAAAGATATTGATATATAAAACTCACGAAATCAATGGTACAAGATAGAAAACTGACCAATATGATGCTTTTCACTTTTCTGGACTTTCAGTTTGTATATAGGAATAGTTCAAGGTGTATAATCGGCACAAAAACTTGCATCTACTGGCTGTCGTCGGCTAGCTGTCTATCATGGTACTATGGATATTACTACCAATAGGCTAGTAAATCCTGCAAATATGTCCTCTGAAGAGCAGTTCTCGCGAGCTGCTGCCGAATATAGGTCTTAGCTAAGCCGATATTCTCCAATATTTCTTCTCGTATAGCCTGTTCAGTGCAGTAATCGATATTCCGAAAGTTCGCCTCTGCGCACACATCACATATAGCCCAAACAAAGTTGATTGTGATAGTAAGACCGCTGGCGAGTCTCGAACCATATTGATTTTTCCAATTAACTTCATGCGTGTTTCCAACAAGAAAGAACAGAGAATAAGAGATAAGATTTTGATTTCGATCAAAATGCATCTGAAGATAATTTTGAACTTGATTCATCGTCGATTGCGATAGTATCACTGCGGTCACAACGTTTTGACGCTGCTCATGTGTTTGAGTGTCATAATTAACCTGAGTATTTTTAATTCTTGTAGTATTACCAAAAGGATGTAAATCAAGATTAGATATGATAATGCATTCATCAGAGTCGAGAATCACCAAAGTAAGATCGTCATGAAACGGAGCTGGCGAAGCAACATCAGAGCCAAACTGCATATTATTTGCCTAAGCAAAGACAGATACTTTCAACGACGTATAATTTCTACTAACCTATTTGAGAATTTCCAATGAAAATAAAATTGTTTCATTGAAATAAGAATTATAGACAGCAGTCACTTACCATAGCCAAGCGAAATGAATGACAACTCGAGGATCAAAGATATTTAAGTTCTATTCTCACACGCTCGACATCTCATAATCTAAAACTATTGAGTGAAAGTGATGATAGAACAAACATTTATTGATACTTCTTGCGCTTATCAATTTTGTCATTGGTTTCTGATTGAGACAATCTGGTAATGCTAAAATTTGGACACAAATTTAATCTCAGGCAGTACACGTGATTGGCAATAATCAGAATGTCTTAGTAAATAAAAAAAAGGATGTACTGCACTTTCAGAATACGAGAAGAACAATTCGAAAGAAAGCATAAGTTTATGATGCTAACAAGTAAACTGAACGAAAAAATTTTTGGCGCGTGCACGAACATCGAGTAGGAAAATATAATTTTGCCGTAGATTTCGTTTGATCTGAGTCTCTCTTGCGGTCAGATTGGAGACTGACACCCATGCGTCCGAATATCTAATATGTTTTTATTGATTGATCATGAAAAAGTGTCTTTTTTTTTCTTTTATTCAATGCAAATCATTTTCAATCACACAAATGAATAAACATGATTAATTTATTGACTGTTCGATTGAAAATTTTTGTACTCGATGATTTCCATTATCGACGACATGGAGATTGCCGTCTCGATCGAATGATAAACCAACGGGACCATATAATTGATTTGGCTGTTCTCCTTGACCGTTTCCATGCGCAATTACACTTCTCTGTGTAGCTTCTTTTGGCCAACGCATGATCCGATGATTCTCTGTATCGGCTACATAGACAGTACCCAATTGATCGACAACGAGTCCGCGAGGAAAATGCAATTGTGTAAGCCTATTTCCAGTTCCGCCACCACCAGCTACAACAATGCCTTGTTTTACACCTTCTTTCCATTTCATTACACGATTTTCTCCCCACGCAGACACGTACACTGAATAGTTTCGATCGACAAATATGTATTCAGGGGTAGAAAGTTGATCGAAACGAGTTCCAAATCCATTGCCACCTGCAACTACTGTTCCTTCAGTGTCATTAATTCTATATCGTGTCACTTCATATTTTCCCTTATCAGCGACATAGAGAAATCCATTCTCGTCCATTGTCAAGCCTACACAACTAATGTTCGAGATGACTGTTTCTCCACTCATATTTTTTCGATAAGGCCATCGAACTATTCTTTTATTCTTCAAATCACAAACGATGAGACTATCTTTCTCTTTGTCGACAATCATATCTTGAGGATAGTTTAACTGATGAGCACCATTACCTTGTCCATTTCCACCGGCAACCACTTGGCCACTTGTTGCATCAAGTTTCCATGCCACAATACGATGATTCGAAGTATCGGCAACATAAATCGTTTGATCATCATCGACATACAAACCATATGGATAAAAGAGTTGATTCATTCCATTACCTTGTCCATTTCCTCCAGCTACAGTGAGACCATTCTGAGCCCATTTTGCATTCGGATGAATGGCAATAGCAGGTGCTCGCAGTGGTACTTAAAATAGAGAAAAATAAATGTCACAATAAGAGGAGACATGATATAGAGACGAGAATGGGAATAAATTTTTTAAGAAAGAGTGATTTTATCCAGAAAGATAGTCAATAGGAGTGAGACATGTAGCTGCATTCTATGGAATCAAAAAAATATCGGCTAACTTGAATTCTTAGAAATTTGATGATAAGGATAGACGATGACTATGAGAATTTAAAAATATTGTTTTATTTTGTTTCATCAAAATAGTCTATCACTAAACGAGTCGTTTGTCTGTTCCTTCATTCATCTCATTTCCAATACACATTTCTGTTTCTTGTTCCTAGGAACTATCCATCTAACGAAGTTATGTATCTTCCAGAGGTTTATGGGTGTGGGTGTGGGTGTGGGTGTGGGTGTGGGTGTGTGGGTGTGGGTGTGGGTGTGTGGGTGTGTGTGGGGTGTGGGTGTGGGTGGGTGTGGGTGGGGGTGGGGGTGGGGGTGGGTGTGGGTGTGGGCGGGTGTGAGTGGATGTGGGTGTGGTGCAGTTAAAGATAACAATTACAACCACACTCACACCCACATACTCACATCCAATCCCACATACCTACACCCGTACCCACATGTCCACACCCACACCCACATCTACCCTTTTTTCACACCCATACACCTACACCCACGCAAACGTATATCCACCCCGTTTTCATGACTTTTATTTTTCGTTGAACCCTTCGCCTTCGGTCATCCTTGGGATAGGTCAAAAAATGAATTTCATAGAGAAAGTGTTTTCAATGGTTGGAATCAAGTTCTAAGGTTGTAGAACGATATTGGAACCGGCAATAGCAGATGATTTACTAATAAAACCAGCGTTTTGATAAAATCCATTTTTCGATCCATCTCTGAGCGGAACCAGGACCACATTTTTCCACTGAAAAAAATTCATGAAAAAATGTGAATTTCTCCTAAGTCTACTCGGTTTTGACTGTGAGTGTGTATGGATGTCGACGTGGGTCTGATTGTTGGATGTAGATAATCTGTCAAATTCCACATCCACGCACTCATACCCGCAGACACAGAGAGAACACGAGAAATAAGGTGATGTATAAACAAAGATGATCATCAGTGTGCATGAGCGCAATAGGATATTACAGGCGTGTATATTAACTACAATAGAACAAATACCAACATTGACACATATGTCCTTTGATTTAGCTTGTTAAATGCAAGTTTTGACACTAACAACAAATATCTGATACGTTATCAGCGAGTGACTTTGAATTTGACAATGAAGGTATATACGGCACTTAAATTTGACTTGTTAGTTGGAAGTTCTAACGCCAAAAACAAATATTTGATACGTTGTCAGCAAATGATTTTGAATTACACAATGAAGTATATATACGACATTTAAATTTGACTTGTTAGTTAGAAGTTTTAACAGGAAAAGTAAGTGTTTGATGCTTTCACAAAAGATTTGAAAAATGATAATCGCCGGTTTTTATAAACTATAAAAATGTTCGACTGTATTTTTTTATGCTTATTGTTAAGAATTTGACGAGACTTACAACTGTAATTCATTGCTTGAAGATTGCCATTATGTGGATAGGTCGAATTCAGTCAAGTGTTTTTGTTATCTTTGGTGCTCTTTACTTGTTTTGCACTTAATAAGTTTCAGACTTAAGTTAGATTGCAGACAAATTCTAATATATGATTTCATTTGAATGCGATAAGGTTCTTTTGTTTTTGTCACAATGCATTCTGTTAAACCTTACAATTCTGTACAGGTCGCTCATAAATAATATTATCATTTAATTGGGTTGTGTTTTATTTATAATCAGATATCTATAAAAGGAGCAGCAGTCTTTCTCACTCTCAATAAAAGTGCTTAACCGAGTTCGATACATATTCTCAGAATTGGACTTTCGAAATAACCTTTTTCTGTTTATACTAGTTTTATATGAACTATTCAAATGGCGATAAATAAGAAAAACTAATTGACTGAGCTCTTTACAAGTTAATGTGAAAGTAAAATATATCCTACAAGATAGAATATTTAAGAAAACTAAAAAACAACTCTCAGCATTTTTAATAGAGAAGCAGAGATCGTTCAATTTGACTATAAAACTTATAATCATCGATTTCTGCAACAACCAATATAACTTTCACAAAAGCAATAAAGTATCAATTTGTAGACTTTTAGTCGGATGCGTACATATAAAATAGTATTCTTGCTATCACCTTGTTGAAATCATTGATACAAACTTCATCTAATTACTAAAAGAATAATGCACAAAAACTGAACATTTGAGTTAAAAAAAGATCTGAATGAATTAAATACTACATTTACACTTAGAATTACTGTTATATCTGTACTCTTTTATGTCCTACATAGGGTTGCACCGGTTCCGGTTTTAACCGATACCGGTTCCGGTTTTAGAACCGAAACCGATGAAACCGATTGGAACCGGAACCGGAACCGGAACCGATAAGAACCGATAAGAACCGGAACCGGAA